AGACCTGATTCGGTCCCCAGCGGGGCAGGCACAAAGTATATGCTTTGTTAATGAGGTAGTCGGATAGTCAAGTTGCAAGATTGCCACCTTGATAGTCACGACAACCTTCCCATATGAGGGTTTTTGCACGTCAGCTACAGTTGACGATGCCTTAGATTCAGCTGTGCAGGGCTTTCTCGTCTCTGGTTTTGGTAAATCATTACTTGAGCACAAACGCTTGCTAACCTGCTCATGGGGGGTTGTTTCCCCACCTGAGACAGATTCGTCATACGCCGCAGCTCTCGCTTCTGAACTAAATTTACTACAGGGAGGTCAGTTGGAGTCGTAAACTCGACATCCATCTCCTTTGTAGACTCGCTCCTGAACTAAATTCACAGAGAGGTAAGTTGGAGTCGTAAACTCGACATTAATCTCCTCTATAGACTCCGCGTCAGAAAGAATTGCCTCTTCAGCACCAATCAGCACAAGGTGAAAAAATTTAGAAAATACTCTCTAAGAGTGGATAGAGGAGAGATACAAGCATTAAGAAGAATAAATAGTTCAAAAAATTCATATACCCCAATTTACCTATACAGTAAGTTCTGATTATTGCCTGCCGGAAACCAACCACTTCCCCGGCTGATATCACGCTAGACATTGAATTATATCTGACATATATTAATACAAGTTACCAAACAGAACCATGCTGAAATCAATCGAATATATTACTTACAGACCGGTTTCGAGGTATAACCTGTTGCCAGTGCTAGCAAAATGCCTGGGACTCGATTAGTTTCAACGCAGCTTGACTGCATATAAGAAACCTTCGACTAAGAAAGAGATCATCAACTAGTGACAGCTCCAGTACCAGCTCTATAAAGGTGATCCATTTGATTGATTCCAGCATTGTCTTGCTGCTGGATGATGAAGAAACCTCTGCAAAAGTAACTTCTGTGAGGCAATTCTCGCATATAAATGAAAAATACTAAACTAGAATTTCTTTAAATTGAAAGGGGTATATTTCCAGTAGGGATAATTTTCAGGAAAGAAAGATTTTTGTGTCACTACTTCCCAATATTTATATAAAAAATGTGGAAATCTTTCAAAGAAAAGAAGGAAGCAATCAATTCCAAAAAATGATTCGAAATGAAATCTCCAATCATTTATCTCTCCCAAAGTACCATCACAATAGATTCTGATGAATGCCTGCCGAAAAACAACTACTTTCCTGGCTAATAACATGCTGAATGAATTGAGTGCTTCATTTTATAATATTATCCAGATTTGGTGCTGAAGAGGCGATGAGGCAAGTGTCTTAAGCAGAAACATCGGATGTCCACCAGTGAGAATGTTTCATGTAAGTGGAATTTCACCTCACTCATTCACTATATTGTGTAGCAATCCTGTGAATGATATCTGATTCAATTCCATAAAAAATGTTTGGAATATAAACTGAATAGAGAAAAGTGTTTTGGTATAATTCAGTGTTCACATAAAAGTATTTGTTTCGAAAGTATTTTTCTTTCATATAATTCAATGTGTATATGAACGTAGCTACACATTTTGTATATAGTTAATTCACTGCAGCTGATTGCTTCCTTCCTTTCGTTGACAAATTCCCACATTTTTTATATGAAGATGGAGTGTTTTGGTTTGCTTCAGTGTTATTCCTTTTTTGTGAAATATTCACATACACTCGTCAGTTGAGCAGAAATTTTTGCTAAACACAATTGACAGAATATTTTTTCTATTTTATTGTACGAAATAGGTATGTAAGATTGTAGGCTAGGAAATAACAGTATATACACGGTGTGTAATTTCGAAAATGGATAAATGTATCTAAAACATAATATTCACAGAGATAAAATGCAAAAGCTGATCGATATTTGATTCAAGGAGAACATCTATCTATCATCAAGAATTGAAAATCGTGAAAATATAATTGTATAAGGAATTCATCCATGGTACCAACTGTTCACTACTGACTTTTTATTTTGGCGCCCTCTTGTGGGAAAAGCAATTTTACCAAGTACCTACAGTAATGTACGAAAATATTAAAACGTTTCAAAACTAACGTATACTCATCTATGACAGTTAATGGAGGAGAATTCAAGGAACTAATATGAAATAATGTAGTTTGAAGTTATTAAAATTCTGCACGATTTTTCAGTTTTTGGGTTCATATAGTGTACATTTTTCAATTGTTATAACTTTTTCGCTTTATCAAATTAAGCACGAAACAGTTACTTTCCTGAAAGAGGGTGTTGAAATGAAAAGTGAAGTTGAATCCATCAAATCCAAATGATCATTTATTTGAGTGATCATATTATTCTGCTAGATCGACTGATATGTTCAGACATTTTTGTGAGACTCTTTTGAATCTGAAGTGTAATATATCCAAATTATTGTGTGAGAGGCGTTTGCAATACAATTTCTTCAGAAATTTTTCATAACGTTGATAATTCATTTGCACACAAGCTTTTTTTTGTCATATAATGAATATTTCGTACACCTTATTGAAAGAATTCATTCAAATTTATCAAATTTCGATTTTTTTTCAAGCACAAAACACAAACACTACAGAAAAATCCTTAAGGCGCTTTCAGAGCGGTGCCTGTGTGAAAGTAGCGATTCACATTGGATTTGAATCGCTGGAGATTAAATCCATTTGGAAAAACGTTCTCAGGAAGTTTATTCCACATAAACGCAGTTCTCCAGATGAAAGAGTTTTTAAACAGTGAAGTTCAAGATCTACTGAATTGCACTTCAAAACGATGAGCAGCAAAAGTCCGTGGCGTATTTCTGCTTTGTACCGCTCTTAGTGGAATCAAATGTGCCAAGTCACTTGAACACTTTCCGTGGAAATATCTATAGAAGAGAGACAAATCTCCAACCCTTCTTCGATGTTCCAGGCTATTGAAAGGTAAGACCTCATCAGTCCTTAGCTCTCAACTTTTGAGAGTTGCCGTTCGTATGGGGGAGACAGCTGATTAACGGAAAAACAGATTTTAAACATATTGAAACAGATCAAGGTTGCACGTGATGTTCGGGTCTCAAATCAAGCGGATAGCTCTTTTCTGGATGGAATCCATCAACTTCAGCGTATGTTTTGGGACAGAGCTCCACACATGAGAACCATATTCCAAAGAAGGTCTGATTTGAGCTTTATAAAGCATCAAAAGTTGCTGAGGCATGTACAGTTTTCTGATTCGGAACAGATTTCCAAGCTTTTGAGAAGCAGCCTTTGCAATTCCAGCGACATGATTGTGCCAAAACATATTGGTGTCCATTTTAACCCCCAACAAACTTATCGAAACAGAAAGTGGAATAGTCTGACCCGACATTATTATATACGGTTCGGAGACATTTATCTTCTTGGAGAAAACCACTTTCATATATCCTCATTGAAATATGCAACCTGCTGCTGCCAGTGAAGATGTGCCTCCGTAGTCGATAGTCCTGGAATCCAAATGGAATGAGGAGACAAGTGTGCTATCTTCAACTAAGCAATGTCAACTAACCATGTCAAATATAGTACCACCTAATAGTCAAAGGTCATAATTGAAGATCAACTATCGTATTCCTTGAGAAATGTTGATATTTCATATCATATTATATTTTAAATATTTCAGCGGAATTCTCTCTCTCATGATAGGGTCACAAAAGAAAGACGTATAATACAGGAAATAGCAGCCACTAACGGTTTCTCGAGGGGTATTGTAGATTACATAATAAGGAAAAAGAAGTTTAGGTTAAGAATGAACGAATTCTCGACTTTCAGAAAGGACAAAAACCAAAATAAATACATCTCAGTTCCATACCACCAATATACGAGGAACTTTGGAAAGATTTTCAAGGAACTAGGTATGAAGGTGGTTTTTAAAACAAGTCATACACTACAGATCCTTTTGGGAAGACCAAAAGACAAAGTCGAGAATTCGGAAATGCCTGGAATTCACGAAATTGAATGTAAGGACTGCGATGCAAAATATTATGGACAGACAAAAAGATATATTAAAGTAAGATATAAGGAACACATAGCACATTTAAAATATGGAAGACCACAAAAATCAGCAGTCGTCCATCTTATTTTGCAACAAAACCATTCCATAGACTTCAGTTCATCAAGATTAGTTAGACAAGTTAACAACAACAGGCAACTAGATGCCTATGAGAGTGTAGAAATAAGTAAACACAATAATATTATGAATAACGATGACGGACCTATACCAAAGAGCATACTATATAGCTTGTTAAAATAAAATAATGTTGTTGGGTTTACTGATTACTACATAAGGACACATTGCAAAAATGAATTTGGATAGGCAATATTCTGAAATTAATTTTCATATAGCTGAAAATTGTTTTATATAAACATATATTGTTAAATGATAGTCAAGGCAAAATTGTAAAATTAATTAAGGTTGGTATACCTGTATGGTTGGTACGCCTGGATGGTTAACCTGTATGGGTTACCTTTATAGCATAAATAGGATTTGCTCGCACTAGTTTCTAGTTTTAATCTTCCTCTTTGAAGATGATCACTTGGTGATCGAAACACGTGTCGAGGTGTTGAAAAGGATGATTTGGTGTTGGGAAAAAACTCCAGTAATAGTCAACTGATATAAATTATAAAACATTTATTGTTTTGTCATATATTCTCAAGAAAGGAAACCTTTGTGGATTCTCCGATTTCTAAACGAATCGTCACTTAATTTATTGCTGTAAAATAATGACTGACAACTGATTTGAGTCTTGAATAAAACAAACTCACATCACTCACTGGTAAATCGAATATGGCAATTTTTTCACTACCATCTCCACAATTAGAAGCAGTAGGTACCTGATCAGATAATTGAACTTTCAACGAATTCAAACAAGAGATGACTCCATATAACCCATAACTTTTCCAGTGACCTTTCAGATCGGCAAATGTAAATAGGTCCTGTGGATTATTACCCAGTTTCAAGAGGAAAGACGAAAAGGTCTCATAATAAAATTGCAGTATCTCATCGAATTTTTCAAGTTCTTCTTGTGATGCTGATGATGGCAATTATCCGGATGCCGGATAATTGCCAGTCTATTATTTTAACGCCTATGGGTTCTGTACAGTCGTCCTTCTGTAAATGATAATCAAAGAATTAATAATAATTATGAAAAAAAAAACACATAAAAAATTTCAGGATGAAAATCCGATGATTTCAATTCATTGCCACGACTCGATTTTCATTGAAGTTCGGGGCTAATGAAAAAAAAACAAAATTCTACTGAAACTTTCAGTAGATCCAATAGACATTTAGTATTCATCTCCTGAAGACACTTACTTGGTTGGTGAACCACACGTCGAGTGTTGCAGTTCCGGTGTTTGGGAACAATGCTTGTTTCAGAAAAGCTGCAGTAGTAGGAAAACCTACTCAAATGATAATTTTGATGATTCTTTGTACCAATAAATGAAGAGAAAATCGAAAAAGATGACAAAAGTAACATTAGTGCCATCTGTTATTTTTTTTTATATTAGAGTACTATTATAGTTAGAAAGATATTATTACTAAGAACTGTTCTTTGATAGTATATACGAATTGTATACATCAAACATCAAAATGTTCATTATTTGCGTTGTAAAAATGCACCCAATGCTGTCACTTTTCACTTTGTGAATGACTATTGGAGCACAAAACATGTGGCAGAAAAAAGCGATTGATTTCAAAATAACTCTTTATAAAGAAGTGAAGACCATACAGAGAAGTTACTTTCAGATACAAACTGGAAGAAAAAGTCTTCCCGAAACAACTACTTTCATATGAACATTGAATTACACGAAAGAAAAAGTACTTTCGAAACAATTACTTTCAAGTCTGCCTCACCGTCGGAATTCAAAGTTTTGGAATGAAACATTTGTCTTATTGATTCATCAGAACTAATCTGAATAACAATACCAAATGAAGCACTTAATTTACTCATGTCATGAATGCAGAACTTTAGGACATTCTTACGCTTATTTGACTCAATCCCAGCCACAGGAATCTTAGTTGAATTTAAAGAGGTATATTTTTGAAAGAGGTTAGTTGTTACTTTCATTCGTAAACAATGTTGTTACTGCATTTCCGTCCTGTGAGGACATTTTCAAACAATTACAATAATCTGCTTATTGTAATTGTTTTATTGTAACTGTTTGGAAATGTCCCTATATAACGAAACTGCAGTAACAACATTTGTTACGAATTAAAGTGGTTACAAAACAGAAAGTTTAATTTCTCATTTTTCAAAATAACTTTTTCACATTAGATGTGACGATCGTGCACAAAGGTTACTTTCAAATACGAAGTGAATAAAAATAAATGTTTTTTTTAAAGAATATATATATAGAGTTTTTTTTAAAGAATATACAGTTCGCAACTAGATTTTCAGTTACTATTCATCATATTATTGTTCCTGAATTCACCCATTGAAGAAAAAATTGTATTCATGATTTCTAATTCACTGAATATCGTGTTCGAAATAGAATTGTATATGAATTCCAATACTAATTACTTGTTATGTAATCTATGAAGGCCGCTGATTCATATTTTGAATACTCGAATATAAAAATTGAATAGACTCTTTATCAGATGCTCCTTGACGAAATGTATTATTCGGTAGTGACTTAACATGAATATTCATGTTTTTTCCAATATGGAATGTATTAGGCTGTTTCAAAAAGTTTTGCCATGTGTTTTTTCTTCTGGTTGATTCGGCCGTTACTTGATGAAGATCCATAGTAATTTCATAAACTACACCTCACGATTTGATCTCCACAAACGTTGTGGAGGTGTAGTTTATGAAATTACCACGTGTTTTTTCAGGTCAATATCTCAATAAATATTTATTCTAGTGTGTCGTGGTAAAAAAGGTGTTTATTAAATATTCCTTGGAATATTCTAAGGACATTTTCTCTTTTGATGATTTTGGATAGGGCGCTTTGTTTCAAAGATACGGGTCGAAGAAGAATTTATTACCAAAAATTACATGTAATGGTTCTTAATCTATAAGAACTGTTGAAAATGACTAGGTTCCCCCCGTTCGGATGCAAGAATCCAATCCCTCATCAACTCTCGAACTCTTTCAAAAACACCAGGATCACTCACGAGACATACTATTCAAACTGAATGTCTGCAGCTGTTTGTAGTAATCGGAATGTTTTTATTTCTGGGTAGGTCCAGTGTAGTACGTTATATTTTATTTTGGCTACGTTAAGTATTTTAAAATTACTAAAATTGTTATTGTCGAAATTTTTTTTTCGAAACAGAGCGCCCTATCATCAAAGGGCAAAATATTTTTAGAATAGTCCAAGGAATACTTCCTTGATCTTTTGCCGCATGTTCAATAAACACCCTGTATATTGATTGATGGACAGTTTTGTACTTTATACATTTATTTTTCCCAAATTCTAATTACATGCCACTTCTCAGCGTATTACTTTATGATGCTTCTACATCATGAAGTAATACGCATAAAGTAATTCTCTATGAATTCAAATTGAACCAATGCGTTGCCGAAACAGACTTGAAGATGATCCCCGAAGTGGCTGACCTACTGTATTCTAGGATGAGGATTTGAGGACCCTGGTGGAGATTGATCCATAACAAACGGTGCGTGGGATAGCGTAAGAACTGGGCGTCAGCTCCTATGCGGTTTTTGATGGTTTAAAACATATTTGATAGGTCAAAAACCTCAAAAAGTGGGTACCCTACGGATTGAATTATCAAAAGAAATTGTCACGTTTCGAAATAATTTCTTCTTTGCTTTTGCGCAACCAAAACCACCCTTCTTCAGATTGGATCATCACGTGGGATAAAAAGTGGATCCTCTACAACAGAAGACGTTAGGCACATTGGTTGGACACCGATGAGCCATTCAGACACATTCCAAAGGCGAAAACCCACCAAAAAAAGACCATGGTTAGTATATGGTGGTCAGTGGCTGGTGTGATTAATTATAACTTTCTGCAATTAGGCCAAAACATCACAGCATATTCCTATTGTGGAAAAATCCACAAAATGTACCAAAAATTGCGTCAGCAGGTCCGGTCCTGCTCCACGACAACCCCCGTTCGCAAGCTTCACAATTGACCTTTTAAAAATTGAACGAATTGGGCGTCGATGTTCTGTCGTACTCACCATACTTCGCAACCAAGTACTTCGATAACTTTCTCACCGGTAGAACCTTCGCCAATAAGTACCAGGCGAAAACGATCTTCCTCGGCTACATCAAATCCCGAGCAAGCCATTTTTATGCTGATAGAATTGATCGACTTGTGATACACTAGCAAAAAATCAGTGATTCAACTGGCGCTTATCTCGAAGTAATTTCGAATGAATTGAGATATCAAAGTTCAAAATAGACTTATAATAAAACAAACAAAACTTCTTACAATCTAATATTATTACTAATTCTGGTTCTTGGAGTATCCAAAACGTACACGTTTTCTCCAACTGAGCTACTTGTTTTTATTTTTCTCACTGGTAGTAGCTGAAAACTATTTCATAAAACTTTGGTTATGTTAAAAAAATGACCAACAAACTACAATCACTGCCTTGACGAGATGAAGAAACTAGCTCCATTGGTTGGGTTAACAATACAGGTACAATTTCTGAAGCAGGTATGTCAATCGCAGAAAAAAAAATAAGACCTTTTTTTTTCTATTCAACCCTTTCAGATTTCATTAACTCTCCTTCAGGAACTTCAAAATGAGGTTGTATAAACCCAGCCATAAAAAAACATGGTTGTGTTGTGAAAACACTTGAATAATTTTCAAAACACTGGTAGGTGATGGAGGTGTAGGTCCACGAACACTTGTTATCTTGTGCGAAATCGATGATTGTCAGTGTATTCAGAAGCAACCATTTTGATGGACGCCAAGAGGACATATATAAACAGAAACAGCTTGTCTTGTTTTACACGAAAGTGAGGCTCTTAATGATATAGGACCTGTACAAACTACTTCAGAAAACATGAATTGTTGGAAGGATCCCATAAGATTGCAGTTTCATCCAGAAACTTGGGGGAAATGAAAGAGTCAAACGGCTCCAAAGAATCAAATAACAACTTCTTACTTATGGATTCGTTTTGAAATTCCATTTTGCAGTTGTGCAGCATTATAATCATTATCGTAAGTCATTTTAGTAGTATTTCAGTCTGAACTGAAAGAGTCCCCCGTCAACTTCTGAATAAAATGAGTTATCAAGGTTGTTCAAAATGTATCTAAGAAGGCATTGTCATTAGTAGTTCTTGATGGCAAAAAAGAGTTGCATCATTCGCAGGGCCGTTGCCATGGGGGGGAGCTTCTCCCCTGCTTTTTCGACTTGGGAAAGAGTTGGGAAAAGTTGGGAAAAGTTGGGAAAAGTTGAGAAATTTTGGGTCATGAATATAGACAACAATAAAAATAAAAGAATTAATAAAAATCAAAAATATTAAAAAAGAAAGAAAAAAAAGGAGAGGTATTAAGAAAAGGAAACAACCAGGAGAAGGTTGGGATTTCCCAACATGCATAACTTGAAGAGAATTTTGAATCGTTTGAAAAGTTCAATTTCTCTCTAGTAAGAGAACACTCCTGAACAGTCCACAAATTTTTTCGACTTGGAAAAGTTGGGAAATTTCGGGCCGTGAAGATAGAAAAAATAATAGTAGAAAACAATAAGCGCAATATTATTTAACTGTTGTTTCCTTTCATTTGTATTCAATATTCCTATACATGGTGGATATGGTGGAAGACCAGGGACCTTGGTCCAAAGTAGATAATTCCTATTGTTATTTTCATAATCACCAAAATTTATTCTTGTTTGTGCATACCCTAACGAGCATGAGCATTCAGCCAATCTTTGGATAGCTGAAAAATTAAATTAATATATTATAGTAGTAACTGATTCCTCGGCTTTCATTTCTTCGAAAGTTGAGAAATTTTACTGTGGTAAACATATTTCAATACTCTATCCAACATTACTTTATTTATTGAATCAAATCAGCTGTTTTTGAATGATTAGACATTTTTCATTCGTTTTAAAAAGTCTGCAAACAATTGATATTTTCAAACGAATAGTTATTCAAAACTCACTCTAGTGAATACTGATAAATTCTGAAAACTCATCGACGAATCGCCATCGATATTTTACATTAATAATTAATTAACACATTACCTATAGCCTGTCAAGTCCAACCATAGTTCCATAAGTGGCACCAGAAAAATGTCAATAACGAACGAAAAATACTAATATTATTGTGAAAAAAGCGACGTGCGCTTGATATACAAAAAATTTGGCAAAAAGCGCCCACGCTTTTTTCACAATAATACTATTATTTTTCGTTCGTTATTATTTTTAGATCAGCTGTTTTTGAATGATAAGACATTTTTCATTCGTTTCAAAAATCTGCAAACAATTGATATTTTCAAACGAATAGTTATTCAAAACTCACTCTAGTGAATCCTGTTGAATTCTGAAAACTTATCGATGAATCACCATCGATAATTCACATTAATAATTAATTAACACATCACCTATAGCCTCTCAAGTCCAACAATAGTTCCAAAAGTGGCACCAGAAAAATATCAATGGAGTCCTTTCACATTTGAATGCAGAAAATTCAAATAGTAGGCCAGACGTTTATTGCACATCTGAATATTACGAATGGAAAACAGAACTTGAGTTTGACCCACCTTATATTTGAACAAATAATTATTGTTCCAAGAGTCCCCATGACATAAGGCCGTTTTCATCTCTTCAGTGTTCAGAATATCCCATAATACGTCACAAGGGTGCTTTGGAACGGCCGTACGTAATAGGTGATGCAAACCTTCATCTCCATTTTCTTTGAATATTTTCAAAGCTGTGTCCAAATTGTTCAATGTACTTTCTCTCATTTCTGTACAATAGATCACCGCATGTTTCATGGTATCTTTTTCGACTAGAACTTTCGTTAATTCCTGGAATAATTCAGTCTTTTGTTTTCTGAAGGCAAAAGAAACTGCATGAAGTTTCGCATATTTCTGTATTACCATTTTGATATGAAACATATTCATGTTCTTTTTTTTGTCATGTAATTTGTATCCTGTGTATTTCAAATTTTCCATTATGATAACATTTTCAATATTTGATACGATGCACTCATACTGTTTTGGTATAAAATATAATTCATTCATTAATCCATTTTCGGAAAGAAACATTTGTAGTGATGGTAATACTCTGTTGTACATATTGAATTCGATGACAGTGGAGTAGATTGCACTTTCTATTCGCTTTCGGTCATTTCTCAAGTATTTAACGGCCAATTCAAAATACTTTCTTTCATTGTTTTCGGCTATACCATTGGCATTCACAAAAATAATTTCACCAATACATCCCTCCACTTTAGAATGTCGTGGAATATTCACAATTATTTCCCTAAGATGTTCATTATTTTCTAAAGACATTTTCACCAAATGTGTGATTTCACTATCAGAGACCATTTCGAATCGAACGTGTCTACACGATAGTTTCAATATTCTCAACATAACCATTCAGTACCTATAATAATTTGGATAGATAATTAAAAAAATAATTTTAAAAAATTGATAACAATTATCACAACGTGGAATAGAATTTGGTTCAAATTATCAGAAAATATCCAGGTGAATTTCATACAAGTAGATACAGGGTGATCAAAGCAAGGGCGGATCCAGCTTTGGTGCCAGGGGGGTCACATAGTAGTGATCAAGCCCGTAGAAGTTATAACTTAATTTCGATGATAATAGAGACAAATAAAAAGTAGGTATTTTGTTGTACATAAAAAACACCTACCTATATTCAAATAACAAAATCAATTTTTTTTCACGTCCTCTCCCGAAACGCGTTTTCACTTCATCTTATTCAATGGGTACGTTTTTATGGACGTGGAGGAGTGCCAGTCCGGTTAAACGTTCTTCAATCATTTCAGTTTGAATACACACACTGGCATAATGAAGAAACTGATTACTTACTTAACCATTTCTTGTAACGAATTTGCAGCAACAATGTTTAAGAACACTATTACTTATATTGGAATTTTGAAGTGCTTAGTGCTTTATCACTTAAGTTCAGTCGTTCCGATTGAGGTTACGTCTAGCTAGACGTTAGTCGAGTCAAAGTGCGCGCGCAAAACACACTGTCACACGAAATGTGACGTAACATATGAACAAATCAAAGTGCCCGCGCAAAATACACGCAAAATACCGAAGCGAATGTGGCCCACCACATTCGCCTCGGTATTTCTACGAGAAATGACGAGAGTTAAGGAAAAACTTCTAGCACAGTAATATGTGGGTCCATGAGGAGCATATTCCAAATTTGTTTTGAANTGTTATTGGGTTTTATATGTGTGAATATAGATTTCAGCGTATTTTTTGTTTTGAAAGTAGTTCTAACATCATACCTATTTCCAATTCCTCTTATTTTTTCAGATAGTCCTGAAATATAAGGCATAAACTTAGTTGTGAAAGGTGTCGGTGGATATTGACTCGATAATTGTTGAGTTGGATGTTGTTGAATTTGTGAAGCTGTTTGTATGATCGTTTGGTTTTCAATTGACTCTTTATTTTGTATTGAATTTATCGTTGAATTTATTAATTAATTTGGATAAGCGTTATCTTTCAGAACAGATTTGATTAATGATATTTCTTTATTGAAATTTTCAATTGAATTGCACATTGGTTTTGCTCTGTTGTAAAGATAATTTATTATACCTTTTTTAACACTCGCATGATGATTCGATGTGTAGTGAAGATATCTTTGAAAAATACCCAAAAAAATCGGTTTGTACTGAACGAAAGATAATTCTCTATTCATGCTAAAGTGGTCGACTGAAAGTGAACAATTGATTGACTGAAAAGTTTTTGTTCATGAGAAAATATAATTTGTGTAGTTGATGACTTGTTTATTTTGTAAAAGTCCATGATCATATTAATGAAATGAATGGGAACACTTTTGTAAAATTTCCACCAGTTATTTCATTTTTACGACCGGTTTTGGGTTTCATCCCATTATTAAGTATAAATACTGACTAATAATTACTAATTAATTAGTTAGACGAATGTGTTTTTATTCATTTCAATAACATGAAAAAATATAATTTTCATTTCTGAGATGACTTGTTTGCATCTTATTGCAGAAAAACATGGGCATGAATAGCAGTAATAATAAGTATTTCAGACGATCATGGTATCCTCAAGTAATTTGTGATCTGAACACTTTTCAGGTAAGACTTCTAGATGGCATACATCCCTTATCTACATGAGGGAGGCGTGTATTTTTAAAAATTGGCAGATGACTCCAAGAATTTATTTGATCCTGAGAGAATTTTCCACACAAGGAGCTCAATGGATGGCTGAGTTGGGCAATTAGCGTTAATGATGGTATTAAACCTTAATTATTGAGCTCAACGCAAATATTTTGGGCATGATGGCTCTTTAAATACTTNGATCATCAAATATTCGTTCAATATCTGTTATTATTATGGGAGCGAAATTTTCCAAAAATATCTATTTATTCATCGATTTCCATTTTGTCTCCTTTAAAGTAGTCGCCCTTGGGTAAAAAACACTTGTGCAAGCGTTTTTTCCAATCCTTGGAGCAGTTCTGATATGCACTTTTTGGTATGTCCTTGATCTCTCTCAGCGGTTCGATTTCTATCTCCTTAATCGTCGCAAACCGCCGACTTCATAGATTCTTTAATCTTGGAAACAGAACAAAATCGTAGGAGGAGAAATCTGGTAAATACGGTGGCTGAAGCATAATAACGTTGTTGTTTTCAGCCAAACGCAAAAGCCATGAATTATTCTTCCACAACACCAGACAATTTCTTCGTATTGCTTCAAGATAATACTCCTTATCAACCATACGGCAAGAACTCCTGATGCACTACGTTAGGGTGATAAGAAAAAACAGTGGGCAAAACCTAGTCATTTGATCAAACTTTATGTGCTTTTTTCGGTCTTGGCTCTCCTGAGCTCTTCTATCGGTACGATTGGTCTTTGGCTTCGATGACATAACCATAAACCCATGATTCGTCACTGGTTATGACATTTTCAAACAAATTTTTGTCGTCATTGACGTTATTCAATAATTCCGTTGTAATGATCATGCGACGGTAATTTTTATCAAAATTCAGCAATTTTCAAACGAACTTCGCTACCCAACGCCCAAAATTTTAGAAAGAATAGCATGGTATGAGCCAACCGATATGCCGATATATCAGCAACTTCTCCAATAGTGATTCGATGAATCTCAAATAAAATTAGCATCATTTTTTCAACATTTCCATCGTTTTTTGATGTGCTGGGCGTCCAGGGCGGGTGTCGTCATCCATATCTTCACGACTTTCTGTGAAAAGCTTGACTCAGGGTGCAACCACTGTATGTCACTGCCAACATTTCGAATGTTTTTCAGCACTCAATACACAAAATTTGATACAAATTCTCTGATCCATTTTTTCGATAGCACAAAATCGACAAACACGCAATTCCACGGAATTTCTTCCCAGCAGCTTGACTACATTAACCTTTCTCGACTTAATATCATTTCTAGAAAGATGTGGATTCGTTTTTTGATGACATTCCAGGAGAGCTTCCCAAATTTCTGCTACCCAAATTTCTGCTCTAACCACCAACACCCACATAAAAACTTGGCAAGTTGACTTGGGTGTCACAGTAATAGGTGGGTCCACTTGTCTCGCTTGCGTTCATGCAGTTATTTTTATCAATTACTTTGCTTGGTTATTCATATTTCGTCCCCCTCAGTCGTGAACCCATTTTTCCTTCTTCGACAAAAATCAGCTAAAACGGTAAGGGAGCTTGGGCTCCAACCTGAACTGAAGTTAAGACGGTTGGTCACATTTTGTTTTCAATCGAGGACCGTCTGCCCGGTACTACTATCGATGCCCATAAGCTGTCTTCCGGTTTTTTATCGCTTTTTCGGTTTCTACATAGAAAATAAAAGACACTTTATGTATATCTTCACTTCGAAAATATAGATATAGATATAGATATTAGGCATGACAGGTTTTTTTTCCAATATTCGTCACTCAGAATATTTGAAATTATAAAGTTGTGCCAAGTCCAATTGAATTTTTTTTGATCAAATATTACGCTTGCCACATATTGTAAATAAAAATTTGCAGAATCTTCCTTATTTTAAATGAAACACCTTGTAAAATAATGATCCATAAGGAGCGTCAACGAAACCTCTACAAATTTCATTGAGTATTCCCTATGGCTAGGTTCAATAGTTTTTTTTTAAAAAAGGTTTTTTTTTGAAAAATGGTCGTTCTTCCTATTTCTACGCCATAAACTCGATGAAAGACTTTTTTCAAAGCGAAATCCATTTGACGACTGATAAGAATGTACGAAAGATATCTTGTTTCAATTTTGTACATTATAGCGTGTCCAAACAAATATTTTTCTACGAAATAAATGTAGGTATGTACCTATCACATTTTTCTAAATGGAAAATTATTTTTTTCATTGGATGCAGAATTTTTCCCATAAATCGTGCAATATCAAACCAAACAAGATTAAATGAAAAAACATTGCGAATATTACTAATATGTTTTTTTTCATGTTACAGTGTATATTCATGAATTCAGGGCTTAAGTTCTAGATATTTAAATTTGTCAACTGACAAACTACAAAACTAAAGAGTTTAATGAAGGTTGGTAATGAAACTTTTATAAAATATGTTCGACATGCCTTCCATTTCCTTGAATGCAGAGCTAAAATTTGAAAGACTGTTCTATCCTGCGCAAGACAGCTGGTGTAATGCTGCCAAAAGCATTCGTTATTCTAAGTCACATATTTTCGGAAGAAGCTGGTGGATCGGTGGCTCGACGTAAACCATATTTTTCATGTACCCCCATAAGACAAAATACAGTTTTGGTAAATCTGGTGATCTAGCGGGCCACCGTACAGGCCCATTCCGTCCTATACATTTATTGGGAAATACTTCATTTAGAAGATCCCTCACTTCTGTCGAATAGTAAGCAGGAGCACATACATTGTTCCATTCATATGTCCCTGAAAAAAGTATGGATCAATTACATATTCTCCAATGAGACGAATCTTGCAAATCGAAGACGTTGCACAGATGCGTGATGATTTTACTTCAACTTTCTGCGCGGCATTAGCTGGGTTAGTTGTTGTTTTTTCCACACGTACCTACAAAGTCGTAGGTCTGCATGAGAGAAAAGAGGCAACCTTGAGCATGTCATAATGCACCTCTCCGGAATATTAATGATGGTGACAATGATTTTCAAACCATTATTTCCATAAATAATATCAAACCTACATATCAGATTCATAAAAATTGTTCATCAGTGTTCTTCATAATAAATCTCTTCAAAATATCAAGACATGTAGTTAGTTGATTTCCGGAAACAAAAACAACAGTCTTTTGGAGGAGATTAGAAGTTAAGATCTCATTAGCGACATGACAGATGAAGATCAG